AGTTGGTCTATTCATTGATTTACTATTCAATGATTTTAGGAGCTGCCTATGGTCTAGCTGGTTTTATTAAAGGTTTAGGTATTCTTGCTGTGAAACAATACAATGTTCTTACAGATTTAACTGATGCTATCCAAGATAAAGCCAATGCCACGCGTCGAGAAGGTTTACTCGAAAAACTTTTTTTGTTATTTTTGCTAATATTAAAAACATGTTTTTGTTTGTAGGTGCACTTTTTGGTTTGGAAATGTTAACAACGATGTTAGGCCGATTGTTTGAAGTTTACATCGTCAATATCTTACCACATTTACTTTTATGTTTTGGTGATAATGATGCCAAAGTTCGTGAAGCGGCAGAAGATTGTGCAAGAGCAATTATGAGCAAATTGACCAGTCATGGTGTGAAAATTGTTTTGCCAGGCTTGTTAAAAGGCTTAGAATCTGATTTATGGCGAACAAAATGTGGAGCAGTTGAATTGCTTGGTATATTTAGTTCCATTTACTCATTTTGAAAATCAATGCATATTGTTTAGGTGCGATGGCACATTGTGCTCCAAAACAATTATCAACTTGTTTACCAAGTATTGTTCCGAAATTAATCGAAGTTCTTACTGATTCTCATCAACGTGTACAAAAGAGTGGTACACAAGCATTGAAACAAATTGGTTCTGTCATCAAGAATCCTGAAATTCAAGGTATAATTTCATCATCATTTGGCAACCAGCTAAGGTAGATGTTCTTACTTTGTTCTTTTAGCGATCGTTCCTATTCTTCTCGATGCTCTACAAGAACCAACGAAAAAAACTCAAGCATCACTTCAAACATTAATTCAAACACGTTTCGTTCATTTTATTGATGCACCTTCACTTGCGTTAATCGTACCCGTAGTTGAACGCGCCTTTCAGAATCGTTCAACAGAAACAAGAAAGATGGCTGCGCAGATTATTGGCAACATCTACTCATTGACAGACTCGAAAGTACTATCTTTATACGTTAAATTCACTCATTCTTATTTTATTTGATAGGATCTAGCACCGTATTTAGCAAATATTCTTCCTGGCTTGAAAACATCTTTACTTGATCCAGTTCCAGAAGTTCGTGCTGTTTCAGCACATGCACTCGGGTCAATGGTTCGGGCCATGGGCGAAGAAGCATTTCAAGAAATCGTTCCATGGCTTATGGAACATTTGGTTTTGGAATCCAGTCCAGTTGATCGTTCTGGTGCTGCTCAAGGTTTAAGTGAAGTTATATTTGGTCTCGGCGCTGACCGTCTTGAAAAATCAATGAAAGAAATCATCGATCGATCGCAGCAAATGGATCTGGCTGCACATGTTCGCGATGGTTATATGATGATGTTTATCTATTTGCCGATAAGTTTTGGAGAAAACTTTGTTCCATATGTCGGCAAAATTATTCCACCAATATTAAAAGTAAATTTCTAACATTCTCAAATGAATAACGACACTGTTTTGTTTTGTTTCTTTTCCTTAGGGTTTAGCAGATGAAACAGAATTCGTTCGTGATACTGCATTGAAAGCTGGTCAACGTATCATCAACAGTTATGCCGAAACAGCTATATCCTTATTCGTACCAGAACTCGAACAAGGTCTATTCGATGATAACTGGCGTATACGTTACAGTTCAGTATTATTATTGGGAGAGCTTCTATTCAAAGTTTCGGGTGTTACTGGCAAAGCGACAACTGAAAGTGTCGATGACGACGATAACTTTGGTACAGAATATGGCTTACAATCTATTACGCATGCGTTAAGCCGGGAACGACGTGACAGAGTATTGTCAGGTAAAGATCTGAAGTAGTGATCTATTTTTCCTCTTAAAAACGTATGAAATCCAATAGGTCTTTATATGGGTCGATCCGATATTGCTGTCACAGTACGACAATCTGCTTTACACGTATGGAAAACGATTATATCGAATACACCACGCACATTACGAGAAATTCTACACACATTATTTACACTTTTATTGGGTTGTTTGGCAAGTGCCAATTTTGACAAGAGACAAGTATGTAAAACTGACAGTCAATTGACTCGCTCATAGTTCGTTTTTTTTGTTTGATCTAGATTGCGGCAAGAACGTTGGGCGATTTGGTTAGAAAATTAGGCGAACGGGTCTTACCCGAAATCATTCCCATTCTCGAAAAAGGTCTCGATTCAACACAGAGTGACCAACGTCAAGGTGTTTGTATTGGTCTCAGTGAAATAATGACAGCGTGCAGTCGAGAATACGTAAGGCTCTATCTTTATCTGACATTTAATTATTCAAATGTTCGTTTCCTCCTTAAGATCATTGCTTTTTCAAGTACAATTATCCCAACCGTACGACGGGCTCTACTCGATCCATTACTTGAAGTTCGTCAATCAGCTGCGAAAACTTTTGAGAATCTTCATTCGAGTATTGGTACTCAAGCATTGGATGAAATCCTACCATATTTATTAAATGTTATGCAAAAGGATCCTGCACCAAATGGTACCTCAGCGACAACAGCCAAAACACCAGACGATGAAGAGACTGAAGAGACTGAACGTGACTATGCTCTCGACGCGTTACAACGTATCATGCAATTAAAAGCACGTGTCGTTCTACCGTACCTTGTTCCTCATCTTATTCAACCACCAGTCGATATAAAGGCATTAGCTAGTTTAACATTAGTTGCCGGTGAAGGTCTAGCACGCCATTTGAACCGTATTATTCAAGCAGTGGTCACACACATTGCTGAAGAGAAAGATGCCGATGCCCGGCAAAAACATATCTACTATGCTGAACAATTAATGTCATCGGTCTGTTGACATAAAGGTCTTCATTTTGTATTGATATTATTATATTGTCTATTTAGGTCTCGGACAATGACGGTATCCTCATAATCATTCGTGAATTACAAGATTTTTCACGCTCGAACAAAGCAAATGTTCGACTGGTGACTATCAGCTTATTATTATCATTCTGCAAAGGATCGAAAGGTACACACCAAGAGCATATCGATGATCTTCTCCGCATTGCTATTAATTTATTAAATGATGAAAATGAACAAATATTGAACACTGCATGGGATTGCGTGGATGTTATCATCAAAGTACGATATCAGTGAGCTTTTCGAAACTGAATTGGAGAATGTTGGTTTTAGGATTTGGATCCATTAGAACTACAAAAACGTCTACCAGTCGTTCGACAAGCATTACGTACAGCTCAGTCGAGTGGTCGAGAACGTGGTCGACTCGTTGGTTTATGTATACCGAAAAAGGTTCGATTCAAAGCGTAAATCGAATAGTGAGATTATACCGTTGATTTGTTCAGGGTATTGGATGTATTTTGCCTATATACAAAGAGTGCATTCTTAATGGTCCACCCGAATTACGTGAATCAGGTGCTAATGGTTTGAACGAAGCGATCAATTTATCTGAGTAATGACACAGCAGAAAATACGATTTTGTTTGTTTTCTCAACGAAGACGGAAAATTGTTTTTTTTTCTCCTCATAGTGCCGAAGCGTTGAAATCATCCATTATGAATGTCACAGGCCCATTGATTCGTGTCTTAGGTGAACGATTTAGTACCGATATCAAAGTGGCTATCCTCGAAACTTTGAGCACATTTATGGCAAAGGTAAGTAAAACATTTTTTCATTATTTTATTCAACAGATCCTATGGAAACATTTCGCAGGTTGGTGTTCAATTAAAACCATTTTTACCTCAACTTCAACCAACACTTCTCAAAGGTCTCAATGATCCTGCACGTCAAGTTCGTATTAAAGCTGGTAACGCTCTCGGATTACTCAGTCAGATTCATGTCCGAATCGATCCGATCTTCGTTGAGCTACTTAATGGACTGAAAGTGAACGACGATCCATCTTTCAAGTAATTCAGTGACTGTACCTCTCTCTCCCTAATTCGTTATTATTTCTAGAGAAACATATTTACTGGCATTGAAGAATTGTTTAACAGCTGTCGCGTCTAAACTTTCTGATGATGTGAAAAAACAAACCGAACAATCACTAACCAACTGTCAAACAAATGAAAATGATCTTGTTCGACAATTAGCATCAAATTGCAAAGAAATTCTCTTATCACCTAATTAAAACTTTGCCAACAAGAAGAAGGAAATAGAGGAACAGTAATAACACCAAGTTTTGTTTTCTTTGCCGGCTGTTTTTTTTATGTCTTACAACTTGGATGATTTGTTGTTTGTGATAAAATAAAAACAGAAGAAAACCGTTTCAATTTGTAAGATCATCCTTGTTCTTGACGTCACGACAACTCGTTTCGCTATCGATTTCTACTCATTACCATACGAGTCATCGCATGATGCTTTGAAACTAACTATTCCATCGTTAATTTAATTGAATCTAATGACAATTTATATTTGAGGGGTTACTCAGTTACTTCTAACTGTTTGCGACGAGATAAAAACTTGAACACTGTAAAGTCATTTCATAAACAACATTTGTCAGTATTTTTCTTCGCATAAGCAATGTGTATTTGTTAACCTTTTCGTACTAGTTGTGTAAACATGAGTTAGCGAATCGTCAAAATTCTACAAAGATATTTGCATAATATGCGATTAAATAACATAGAAGAAGGCTCAGAGCAAATATCATTCTTTTGTAACCAATCAAGGTTACACGAGTAATACGCTCTGATTAGATATTTTCTTTGCAAGTAACGCGATTTTTTATGTTCTTATTTTTCCTCCTACTCTTTCGTTTATTCTACATAATACATATACACATTTTTATAGTCTACATACTCTCCTCGACGTGTGGTTAAGTTACATTTTTGAATTCGGGAGATATAACAATCCAACTGTTTTTCTTCTTTATAAAGGCATTGCAAGAATATTCATATTACGAATCAGTTTTTTGTACGATAAGGTCGAAGATAACCAATACTCAACCGGCAGTCGTGTAACACGTACATATATACTGTTCTTATCTAATATCCACACATAACGTCGTTGTTCTCAATCAGTGGTTTTTCTTTGTTCACAATGGTAAAGGTAAGCGGCATGTTATAGTGTACGAAAATCCGATTTCATGAAATACTTTAGAGCACAACTGAACCGAAAGATCGATCCTATTTGAAAATAATTGGTTTAGTTTGGATACTTATTGAATGTAGTCTCGTATCTGGAAAGTGAGTTGTTTGTTGAGCAAACTTGCAATGAAAATTTCATCATTACCTTGTTGATAGTATATTTGGTTTTGCGTCCTTGTTCGGTGTTTTGCCCCAGTATCATATATACGAATTTCGTTGCAAAGTTCTATCAGAAAAAATTGTTTCGAATGATACAAAAACGGTTACTAAAGATTGCCGTGAACAAGTCGATGAATATCAGGTTTAACGATTTGTTGAAGAAAAACAGAAGTCAAACCTGCTTTCGAACAATTTCAGCTTGCATTTGCATTGGGAATTGGATTTTTTAATTTACCCGCGGTTGTCATCGGCATGTTTGGAGATTTTTTCGGACCGCGGTCGCTGAAACTAGTTGGAACGTAAGCGCACATATTCGTGCTATGTTGCGTTTCTCCATCAGTTTATCTTTCTTCAGCATTTTTCACTTAATCAGCTGGTTATCATTGGCATTTGTTGCACCTGGTAATCTGAAATATTCTGAGACAGAGAATTATTGATTTTTCTTTCAAATAGGCTACGATTGGTTGCTTTTATTGCATACAATATTCTCATCGCTAGCTGGTATGTGTGTTCTATTGTCATCATTTGCAATCTCAGCAAATTTCACTAAGACAAGAGGCCTAGTAACGTATGTATTCACTTCGTGTACACTGAACTGAGTAGACAAGACTTGGTTTATCTTTTAGGTCGTTGATTAGTGGCGCACAGAATAGTGGTGCTATCTGGTTTGCAGTTTTTCAGGTTGATTTCATTGAAAGTTTATCTTTTTCATATGAATAAGAGTTTACTAAACAGGTTCTAATCAAGGAAAATGTGGCCTCTCTCTCGACATTAGCATTTATTTGGGCATCATTTTCGATATTGATGTTTATTAGTGCGATGCTTTTCCTCGACTGGCGTTTTGCATGTGCTCAAACACAATCGACGAAAAAGAGTGTGTCAGAAGAAGGTTTGCGTCTGAAAATATTCAAATGCGATTGTACTTTTGTTTTGTAACATTCTAGTGGAAGTCAATCCAACACAGGATACATTAGCTCGTTATTTAACTAACCCATTGTTCGTCGTTGTCACACTTTTCATTAGTTGTCTTCTTCTAACGGTCTCATTCCTACCTGTCGTTTGGTTCCCTTGGATAATGAATCTGACGGGAAAAAACGTGAATCTATGTAACAGTTAATCATGTCAATTCAAATCGAGATGTGTTTTCTTTCTTTTTATTTCAGCAAATAGCTACACTTTCTTGTTTAACATGAGTACGGTTCTATGTATTGTTATCGCACCGATATGTGGAATCATTCTCGATTACAAAGCAAGTCAAGGTTAGAAAAAGCTATTGATTTCCAATGACTAACTTGTTGTTTGAATCAAGGTTATGTACGAAAAATATTCAACATTTCTATTGTACAAACGACAACTTGGGTAGCATCAATCGTTCTTTGTATCATCTGTATGCTTCGATCAATTGCCGCAGCATTAGTGGCTATCCTGGTTTTTGTCTTTTCACGTACGATGCTCGTCACTGGATGTCAAGCAGTAATTGCAATTTCGTAAATATGATTTAACGATTAATTTCCTTATTCTATTCCTTATTTTCTCCTATTGTCGGCAAAAACAGATTTCCACCACAGTTCATCGGCACCCTTCTCGGAGTCATGTGGACAACGGCAGGTATCGTTAGTTTTGTTACTTACGGCTTAACACGTCTGGCTACAAATCCTGAACATGCTTGGAGAGTAAGTTCTCTCTTTTTTTGGTTGATGCAGGTTTCTATACGATTTTCTATAGGCTTGGCTAGTGATTTTATCGTTATGTTTGGTCATGGGCGGGCATATCATTCAACTTTGGAATCTGTACTTTAAAGCGAGAAAACAAGCAAAACAGCAACTAACGAAGAACGAAGAAGAACTCGTTACTCTGAAATCATCCACCGATCAGTAGATATATCTTTGTGTGTGTGTGTTTGTTTTGATTCTTAATAAATAATCAACTATTGAAATCTTTTCATGGATTTGTCTATTCGATCTTGTTTTGACGTTTACTTGTTATTCTAGGAGTACAGACGTCATGCATTACATGTGCGTAGGAATGACTGATAAGACAAGTTCTTTTTTTTTTACTATAGTCCTAATTGAAAACAAGGCATTAAATTACCTCATGATGCATGTTTCATCTTGTGAATAAGGATGACGTATGGAATGGAATGTGAGAGACATGGAGAGAGAGAAAGACGAAGAAAAAAAAACGAACTGCGTGATAGAGCGAATTTATAATCGAGAGGCCAGAGTTAGTTTATTCGCACATCGGAGTACTACATACATACAAATGTCGACAAGCAAGAAAATGCTAAAATATTTTTTTCTATTGTTCGTTTGGATCTACAGTGTAAGTCACAATTACGTTGTACGAATATCTCGAAATTGTTTTGCATTGTGGCAGGTCGCTACTGAACCTTCATCATGGTCCATATCAATACCACTTCCAGATGGAACTCGTCGTGTTATTCATATACCTTCTTCATCAGTCGATTCTCAAGCTGAAACTGTATGTAGATCGATTATAACTGACTTTCAATTAACCTAGGGAATCTGTGTAGAAATCAGAGTGTAGAAATTGCTTTCATTTTCGTACGGTTGATGGCGGCCGTCGAATGTTAATCGAGCCTTGTGGCGGACATAATTGTGTTTCAATGATCAATAGTACCACTTCAACGAAATTTGAACCAACAAAGGAGTACAATTTCAGTCAATGTGGAATACCAAGTAATACGAAATATTCAATAGTAAACAAGGCTTTACAAATGAAAGTCAGTACGGGTGTGAAAAACACGTTGCGTCCGGCGGAATATCCTTGGCTGGTAAGCGGTTCTATTCTTGAATCATTCTTTTGAACAAACCGATTCTCTTAGGTGCGCATTGAAAGTCGTTCAAATATTTTTTCACGAACAGTCACTCTTTGTGGTGGAACGTTAATTCATCCACAATGGATCATTACAGCTGCTCATTGCATGTTTGACAGTAAAGTTGATCGGCTGTATTCAACCAGTGGTATTAGTTTATACATGGGCCATTACAACCGTGTAAGTACAAGTCAAAATGAGTACATCGCACGACCGAATCTGTATATAATTCATCCGGAGTTTCGCATAACTCGATCCAAGCCAGCACCGGTTCATGATCTAGCATTAATTAAATTAGAAAAACCAGTTCCATTGTCACATTCAATTGGCATTGCTTGTTTACCCAATCGAGCAGACAAATTAGCCGATGGAGCATTAGCCTTTACGGCTGGCTGGGGCCATGCAACACCAGGCTCGTCAGCAGTTAATGAGCCTCGAAAAGCTCGACTTAAAATTTCCTCCAAAGCGTGTCGTCAATTGATGATCGATCGCCATCTGCACGTATGCGGTCGAAGTGACCGTGGAAATAATATTTGCAGTGGAGACTCGGGTACGGGTCTATTGATTCGTGCAGGTTCTAAGTCGAATGATCACCAAACCGACTGGCGATGGTACATATTCGGTGTAGCTAGCTTTGGCCTTGATGAATGTTCTCAACATGTCAATCATGATAATGCATTCGCATCAGTCTCGACGGATATTGATTGGATACATGACGTGATAAAAAAATATTAGTTTTATGTATCTAGCCTCTCTCTCTATCCTTACTCTTCGTCTCTTTTTTTGAAATACAAGATGCTCCTTTTGGTTCTTTTTTCTCCTACTTTTGATTAAAAAAACAACCGATCTATGAGCAAACTAATATAAAATGAAGGTCAAAGATTTGTAATGGTATTCATATAAATTACCTGAGAGAGAAAAAGAGAAATGCTTTGAAGCGTATCTGCGGTATATTTATGATACACCTTGTTCATGGCCACTACTCCTGATTTATAGTAGTCTTCTTATCATTAGCATTGTGCGCAAACGCCGACCATCACGATTTCTTTCAAAACAACAATATTTCATTGATGATTGTTGTACTAAGTAGATAGATAGTAAAAAAAATGAGCGAAGGAAAGCTTTTATTCGATGCGAAGGACTTACTATTTTTTATCGACTTGCTAATGTAATAATCACAAGGTTAATTTCTTTCTTCGCTTACATTGTCTATACTTTATTCGAAATAGTAGCGTCTTCTTTTTTTTTCTACATAGAAATCGATGTTAAGTGAAGCACAACGTTCAACACGGTCACCGACAGAATCAGTTCAGACAGATTCTGTACGTACGGGCCCAACGACCGGTGTGAAAGGGCGATTATCTCCTCAATCATCTATCACCGAAGAAGATTCTAGTAGAAGTATCTAGAAAATATCAATACTCACACAAATCTAACATGTAAATTTCTTTCCTTCAGTTCCACCACCGCCACCTCCTCCGCCTCCTCCGCCAGTTATTTCTCGTGCACCAGTCAAATCATCCTCAACATCAGCATCAACATCATCGTCGTCGTCTTCATCAAAATCGGCGAGTACTGTACGGACTAAATCGAGTGAACAGTCCAGACCAACCGTTCGTGGAGTAGGCACGACAAAACCTATTAGCGCAGTAACTATTAACAAATCGACATTACGACGCATGAGTTCCGATGAGAAAAGTAAACCTAATCGGCAAGTGTCCGGTATAAGTACAAAGCCATCACAATCGAAGCACAAATCAACAGGAATATTCACTCGTATTAGTGCACGTGATTTCATCAATGATAAATCAAATGGGACACTCGTATCATATCTCAAAGGTGGAAAAAACAATCAAAGCGTTTTCGAAAAAGTCGATACACATGATGGACATACGACTTATTTGGGTAGTGGAAACTATTGTGACCTAGAAGATTGTATACGCGATTGTTTATCGAAAAACCAATGTCACACGGATCAGAAATATTACAGCTCAAGTCATGATTATTCATATAAACCTTCAACACGTGCTTCGGTACTCGAAGACTACAGCTACGACGGAATAATAGAACCCAAGCATCGCTCGTCATACACGAGTTATAGTCATCTTCATGATCGTGATTATTGCAGTCCTCTTACAGATTATCTTTGTGATAGCAGAAAACATGCAGGAGAACTTTCACTTGACGAAATTCGTAAAGTCAACGATCATCTGGCTAAATACGGTATACCAGTTTTTTCTCATCATGACAATCCACATCATTCGCATCATTCCCATCACAAACCACATTCTGTAAATGAAATCGTATCTGCATGTCGACTTCTTCTCAACGAACCGAGACTTGCTGGATTACATTCAGATGGATCACAGGCTGTACATCACGCCTGGGATGCAATACATAATCATCCTATGCCACAAAATGATCAGGGCTATGCCTCACCAGCAGTTCGTGGTGTCGCATCGCATTTATTCCCTTCTGGTCAACCACCGTATGATCCTCTACGCAGTGTTTCATCTCACATGTTTGGTCCACCTCAAGCACCACCATATAACCCTCCACCTCCAAATAATCCACCACATTTTTTTGCACCTGCACAACCACTACCGCCATACAATCCTGGTCCAAGTGTTCCAACGTATCCTTATGGATCACCACCACCACCACCACCGCAACCACAGCAGCAGCAGAGCTCAGGCCAAAGTGTTCTATCGCGTTTATTTGGATCTCATTGAACTTCTTAAGGATTATTGTTCTCGAAATCTCCTTCTTGATATCCTGGCAAAATTGATATGTTTATCCCTCATTTTCTGTATGACAAAATATTCGTACAAGGAAAATTTAAGAAATTCAGCTTTGATAACATTTTTCTTTATTTCTCAAGACGAAATACAGTAACGATCAAACCCATTGATAAATTAATGTTCATTTTGCACTTAATATAACCTAAATACAGTCGATGCGTAGACAGAAAGGTGATAGTAATCTTTTAATTACCTCATTAAAAAACAGTAAATGATTCATTGAAATATTACATTAATAGTTCATCAGAGAAGAGAAAAAAATGCCCTACTATATTTGTCGATTAGAAGGTCTTGTATGAAAGTCAAGAATCATATCCTCATCGGACGTCAAGGTTTGGTCCTTTTATCGAGTTATGATGCAACATATATGTCCTTCACAAATTTCTCCAAAAGGACATTCGACGCGCTTGTTCTTCTCTGTTATGTACACGATAGAAATCATTGAACACTCCTTCTTATTCAAGCTCTAATGGTTTTGTACCTCTTGCGAAGTTGCTGTCAGCCATGGCAATATGATCAACCTGATGCAGATGTAATTATACTTGTTCAGAGGGAACCAATATTATTTCTCTATTTAGCGAAGATCGTGGTATGCAAGATCGTTCGACTCGAGTACTTTTAAAGATCATCGGAATGTACATGCGACCGATGCAGACCGTCGTATTTATCGAAAACCATACGTCGTACTAAACAGAACTCCGAAACGGAAATCCGAATTTAATGACAATAGTTTTGTATCTCATAGGTAAATCTTTCGTTTTAATCGATGAATGTGATTTTACGCATCGATTTAGTATTCCTTCATCAATACTTCTCTCAGAGACATCAGTGTCTGGTATAGATAACAGAGCAAAACCGATTGGTGTCAGAAACTATACCATCAATGTAACACGAAATTACTTCGTAGAAAATAGTCCACCTGTCGAAGCCAAATCATCTTTGCGTACTACTCGAGTGCTGCACGAATCAATCTTCTTCACAGTGAATATGGCGGTTGAGGAGATCACTGATGATCCTAGTATGCGTGGTTTTATCAGCATTCTTATTCTTCCAATATGTCTCCTTTAGACTGGGAAATGATAACTAATGATCTAATTTATGATGCAAAGAACAACCGGTATGAATTGATATTCTACTGTGAAATTATTTGATTGCGTTTTTCCTTTACAAGATCATTATTATTGAAACAAGCTGTGGTAGACACCGTTGTCGGCTACTCACTGTTATCTCAGCAAAATATCAGATCTGTAAATCCACCAATAGTTTACCTTCATCAACCGAAAGCTTACGAAGCTGAAACTAATCCGTTGCATTTTGCAATCGTACGGAGCCATTCGCCATGGATCACCAATGAAATTGTCAGTTCCACAGAGACTGAAATGAGTGGTCACGACTCAGAATCAGCTTTCATCACAATGCGTCCATTGACACCGGAAAAAGCATGTAAGTTAACTTAAATATTCGTTCATTCCCGACATTCAAATACAAATTATACTTAATTTAGTACCTGACATGTCAACAGATACTGATGAATATAAGACAGCAGGCATTGACGAGGTACAATTCCAATTTCAAGAACTTTTTCGTGTGCACAAACCGAATGAACCGTACAAAGAATTTTTTCTGACATCTGCTCTTTCGGCATTGCCAATTTTCCCAGAACACGACTCTTATCATTATAATGATGCTATCGAGCCCATAATTCAAACACAACCCATAGAAGCTATTTTAGATTCTATTGATGGTAATGAAAATTTCGCATTGCCTGTCTCATCACGTGCCCGTTACGAAGAACCACTAGAAATGTACTATTGATAAAGCTCTATGAACAATTTTATTTTTTTAAATCGTCTCGACAAACATAAAGTAGAGGGAAATGTTAAAAAGTCTGCTAATTTCAAACCAAAATATAAAAATTAACAGCAATGAAAGCACGTCGAAAACAACAAGGAAAACTTGCAAAATTCGAGACACAAAATATGAAGACTAGAAGATACTTCCGAAAAGTAAGAGAGATTATTTTCCTGGAAAATTGAAAGACGCTTGCGTGAAGATTCATTCGCTGCGATTGGTTTGATATACAAGCTTCGTTTCTGGATTCGAATTTCGTCGCCTATCGTTAAAATGGAAACGTCGGGCTACGCTTGATGATTTCGACCTTCGTTCCCTTGCCAATGGTAATATAAGAACTAGAAATACAACTAGGTTAATAGTGGATACCGAAGTCTCAACATAGTATACCTCCAAGATGAGCGGTCGTGGTGATTGACAGTTGAGAATTCTCTGTCGTTGCTGAAATGAAGAATAATGATGAGATATAAGCTTATAAATAACAAAAAAAAAGAATCTTGTTACCAGTAACAGTTGGTGTTTGATCCATTGCTTCTACAGGTGGTGCTAAACGGAGAAAGAAATCATTTAACTTTCACGAGAACAATGTTAAAATTCAACATACACGGTGTTGCCAGTAATTGTTGCAATCCAGGATGATGAAGAACTGGTGAATCAATATCTGCCGTATCAATTTGCTCACTGTTACCAACTGGCCCAACTATTGGTAGGGGTTCAACCTCGGACGACTCATTCGTATGTCCATCCTCGATGAGTCCCGGAGCCTCAGGAGGAGATACCGTGATTTCTGGGACATTATTAATACCTGAATTAAAAGAAATGATTCATATCAAGAAAAAGTCAAACCTCGAAGTTTACCTTCATTTTCGGTGTTGTTCTGAACATGATCGCCAACCACATGCTCACCAGGAATTTGATCTATATCTGCCTCTGTACATATGAAATAAGATATATATTTATGGGTGTGTCATTCAGCTTACGAATGTGTGGTTCTTCGTCCACCGTCATTTCAACTACTTCTACAGGAAGTAAATCTGGACTCTCAACTTTGAAAATAAGAAAAAGCAAGTTGGTGTCAACAACGTCGTAGATATATTTACCAAGAAGCTCGGCTGTTGTTTCACGGTCATACGGACGAGTAGCCAAATATAAATCAAGGTCCATCGCTGGACTGACAGCTTTGATGTAGAATGAAGAAATAAAAATCAAACTCATTTGTTAGAAAACTGTGCATACTTTGAACTTGTGTAGCAAATTGTACGATAAAATCTTCTGCGGGACCAAAAAGTCGAGGAACTAAATTAAGACGTTAATTTAGTCTGTTCTCCAGTATATTTTATGAATACTTACTTGCCGCAAACGGTACTTCAGCAGCAGGTTCTAAATAAATCGATGATAACTTAAAATAACACCACAATTCGACTTTACCTGTATCGTGCGGTTCTACTTCCATAGGCTGACTTGCCGGAAACGAAAGGGTATGTGCTAAAATATTAAATTATAGCTGGCAAAACAAATAGTCCTGGACATTTTTCTTCTTACTAGATAAATTAGATGTCATATCTACTGGTCGAGCACTGCCGAACACAATTAAAGACTGTGCGTCTTGAGATTCACTGTTTTGTTCTGAGTTTGTCTCACCTATATTCAATACTGAAGTGTTATCCAAGGATATGTTCTACCAGAAATTCTTTACCGGAGTCAATTATAGTCATCCCAATATCACCCGGGTTCATCATCACAAGTATTTCTACAAAATGAAACAGAGATGTTCCTTTCTATCACGTTCGAGTGCTTTATACTTACCAAGTGACTCTTCTGACTCTCTTAACACATTATCACCGCGATTGCTACCATCCATTATTATTTGTAACACAGAAAACAGAAGAAACTATTCACATATTTATATATCTACAGAATTTGGAGCTAGAGTACTATATGGAAGAAATATTTGGTCACAATCACAACGATGCGATATAAATATACTCACGCAATGCAAAAATAACTAAGAGTATCTCATGCATATCATTGTGTACTCTCATCACATGTCTTTATTATTGATGATATATATATGACAAATATTATACATGGTTAAAGGCGAACCATAGATCGTTTCGGAGCGTATTAGTTTGAGAAAAACATGTCACGAAAATGAATTGCTGATTGATGACCTTTGAACGCACTTATGATTGACTGAAAGACGCGTTGTATTGTCAAAGTAGAAAACGACTATTCATACATTTCCTCAAATGAAAGTATTTTACACTACTTGTTTTTCTTGTCACTCAACTGCAATAGTATACTCACTCTATGTATGTATATATGACATTCGAAAACTAACAATGAATAATCTGCATATGTAACAAATAGACTGCTTTAGTCCATTCAGTTCAGAAAGTACTTTCGAAGAGAAAAGCTCGTGTATGTACTGTACAAACCCTATTTCCTTTAATCCTATTTGTCAAGAATATCGGCAAATGCTAAAAAGGCTATTCGAAAAGAAAAATCAAAAGATGACACTATGATCCACCACATATATGCATTAGACAAAGAGTTAAATATATTTTTCGAGAATTAGAAGACTGGATAGCTCTTAATCTTCAAAAAAATATTCGTACGATGTTGTGATCAACCGATCAGATCAATTAATAATTGGAAATAAAATAAAACCATTGAGATGTACTTGCTGTTCAATCTGTCGTATAACATTTTATATAAACATTAATTACATTATATTTCGAAAGAAAGCTCCAATAGAGCTTGTATACACGAGATATCTTTATAAATTGAAAAGAAATTTGTCACAAAATATCACCAAACAGTTTCGATAATCTTATAAATTCGTCGAAGGCCAATTGACGATAGTAATGATCCTAACAAGCATATCACTACCAATAGATAGTACCAATTTCGATGTAGACCATACAATGACATACAAGCCATGAGGAAAAGTATCAAAACAACACCTAAACACCATCTCTGTATTCGTCGACGTAATAATCGATTCCGAATTGTCCGTCCAGAGAATGGACGGGATGTTTTTTGGCCGAGTAAAGTTAAAATCATTTCTCGACATGCTAATGTGTCATAATTGTAATCCATACGTTCGAGAACATAATCAAGAGCGTGACAAACTTTGAGGAAACGTTCATCATCTTTACTCTCGTGTTCTTGGCTTTTTTCGTATTGAATTTTTAAATTGTCAAGTTCACGTTCAATTTCTTCGAATCGACGATTAACTTCTTCTTCAATCGACGCAATTCTCGTCGAGATTTCATCGGACGGTGGATTGGGAAACTCACTGAAATCGTCTCTACACAAAAACTGGACTCAAATATATATCGAATTCATACCTCTGTTCTTCAGTATCATCGTCAATATTAGTAGTGGTCGTTCGTTTTGTTATCTGTTTTCTCGGCATGTTTTGTCAACTTAGTGTCGAGAAAAAAAACAAAATACACGTGAGTCAGCCAATACATACTTCACCACGTTGTTGTTTCTGCCTCTTTCTTTCTCTCACTCTCTCTCTCGTTTCTCGTTGGCTGGAGAAACAGCGACGGACGAAACATATCAATGGTTCATTTTCGTGTTCAGAACAAGCGGACGACGACAGTCAAGTCACTTATTGAACTAGAATATGAATCAAGATCAATGGAATAGAGGTTTTTTCTCCAAAATTTAAATATCACTTTGCAAAGAAGCATTTTGATCATTTGCATATTGAATCGTAGAGGTATTTATCAAATAATCCATCGTACAACTGTTCCTCTAATCTTCTTGTTTTTCTCGATTATGATGTGAATTTACAAACGTGCACTGATGGTATTGTCTCTTGTATTGCGTCTATTTTCTTCTCGTTCTGTTTGCTAAGTACTATTTATGTCGTCGGCTTCTTTTCGAATACTGATTATCGTTTCATTTCATACTGGTTGACTTTGAAAATAAGCACACACGACTAGTTATACAGTTATGTGTTTTCAATATCTCTTCTTTGCTGGATTATTACTTATTTCCAAGCTGCATGCTACTTCTGAAATCAAATCTATTAAACAACAGCCAACTGTTCGGTTAATGAATGCCGTTCACGGTGAAGTACTCATGCCGGTAGTTGGTCTGGGCACTGGAGGTTATGGTTCGGCGAATGGATCAGGTGGAGAATATTGGGGACCTGAACAAGGTCATAACGCTACTGTAGCATGGTTAAAGATGGGTGGTCGGCGTATTGATAGTTCAGACGATTATGCTTCGTGCGATGGTGTTGGTACTGGTTGGGTAGCAAGCGGCATACCTCGTTTAGAGATATTCATTACATCCAAAGTAGATCCTGCTGGGTATGAACAAACACTTTCGAAATTTACGGACATACTGAAGTCTTTACAAACTACTTATGTTGATCTTCTACTTATCCATTGGCCTGGTGCTCAGCCGGGTAAATCTGATAAACCAATTCCGCCTTGTAAACAAGGAAAGGCTACTTGGACAGACTGTCGCATCGAAACATGGCGAGCATTAGAAACTATATTCAAACTACAACAAGTAAGGTCTTCTATTTATTCATGTTAACACTTGTCGGTTTTTTATCGTCTAGGTGCGTGCTATTGGTGTTAGTAATTATGAAGTAAATCATTTGTTAGAAATTTTTGACTTAAATTCTACTCGTCCAAGTGTTAATCAAGTAAACTCTCCTTCAAATATTCTTTTCTGCTGATAAAATTTCCTTCGATTCAGGTTGAATTTCATCCCTACTGGCACGAAGATGAACTTGTTGATTTTTGTCAGAAACATAACATTACATTCAACAGTTACTCGCCCGTTGGCTGTCCTGATCATGCATTAACACTTGGCCCGACTTGGAATCCTATACCTGATCTACGTAAACATCCACGCGTAGTTACAATCGCAGCTAAACATGGCAAAACCTCAGCTCAAGTAGTACTTCGCTGGCATTGGCAACAAGGTATTGTTGTTAATCCGCGTACTCGCGATCCAACTCATATGATGGAAAATATGTCGATATTCGATTTTGAACTCGATCAAGAAGATATGATGGCTCTTGCTTATTTAAATCATCCGATGAGCAAAGTTTGCGGTGATCCAAGATTAATTCCATAGGTAAAGACACTAATAATGTCATGTATAAAACTTGTATTAAAAGCATACTCACTACTTTTTAAACCGCTTTATTATTACAGTCGATTATAATTTGATTAACTACTTTGAAAATATTGATCTTTTCATCTTTGTCTGTCCAGTCAGATGGGTGCGAGTTGATTGCAGCTGGTTTCATTTTAATCATATTGACGTACTCTTTTAATCTGGAAAAGATATTTATATCTAGTCCTCGATGAATTAGAGAGGCAATAACAGGATAAAATGCACAATCAGCTAATGTAAATTGATCACAAGCAATGAACGTATTTTTTGTCAAGTACATTTCCCAAAATGCCAGTTCTTCATTGATCTTTTCCAGTATTTCTAGAATTGAATTTTTATGTGATGGTTGTTCATATTCAAGTGTTTCGAATACAATAGTTTCGAGTGATTCATATATATCGACTAGATTTTGAGATTCTTGTACGCGTTGCAACACTTGGACATGTTTTGCTTTTTCCACAGGCAGAAGCGATCGAGCAGAAGGGTAGTATTCTTCGAGATAATGTAAAATAGCGAGCGATTCAGCAATGATTGTACCATCTTTATCAACAAATGTCGGAGTTAAACCACGAGGATTGATAGCAAGAAATTCAACCGATTGCGTTTGTTTTGGTTTGGTCATGATCTCCAGTCGTTTGCCCTCAAAATCAATGTCTTTTTCATAAAGTGCCATCATCACTCTCCAACTAGGTATAGATCCATTTACAAAATACAAGACTGGCTTCAAAATAGCACTGTCAGTAGTAATCGCTTGTTGATCATTGAATTGATTCGACATGATCGTTGTTGCATACCATCGTCGTATCTTTTTCAATGCCGTTCGATGCGAAACTTCATTGCGATATCCAAGGCAATCAATCCAAACGAAAACCTTGTAACCATGAAAAAAAGCATCGATTGTCGTTGCTTGAACACAAACATTGGTTACTAGACCACAAATATGCACTTCACTCACGTTCTTCAAAATATCAACAAGATTAGTGTTTGTAAATGCTGAGTAATACGTTTTTGTCACGATAAAATCTTCTTCGGACTTGATAAGAGAGATAACTTCAGGCGGAAAACGTTCGCCATCTGTTCCAATTACACATAGCGGAAATGACCGATGTGTACCCGAAAGAAAAGTATCGTTCATTGGAATATTCTCATACTGTTTACCTTCTGGACGAGCGAGAGATTTGAATTCGATTTGATCATTTTTATAATTAGCTTTGATCCAAACAACAATACCATTCGAATCACGAAAGCGCGGTAGAACATTGTTTAAGTGAGAAACAATATGATCTATTTTGACGTATTTATCTTTGAACGGTCCGTTCGGAGATACAAAATCTTGTTGAAGATCGACTATTAACAATGCACGTCTCGTTTGATTTTCCTCCATTGACATGTATACAAAAATCAAATGACTCTCATTTCGTACACGAACATTATGCTCGATGGTATTGCGTCACTGCAGTTGTTCTCTGATGCAATCAGGATCGTCAGATGGAGGTAGTGTGCTCGGCAAAGTATCTGGATGTGTCTGTATCTGATTACGAATGACAATGAGTCTTTTTTCTCTTCATTTAACATTGTGTTGTTATGATAAAAAAAAGAATGGAATAGATTTTAATATTTACTAGAAAGAAGGAAACCTGTTGTTAGAAATTAAATATATAGAAACACATGTTCTGGAAAGATATTTGTATTCAATAAACAAAGTAGTCGATTCATACAGACAAAGTCAGAAAATTTAATCTTCTTCATCTTCATTTTCGACTTCTTCTTCGCCTTCCTCTTCTTCCTCAGGTTTTTCAGCAGCCAGACGCGCCTTTTCTTCGTCTTCAGCTGTTGGATCATCAGCTTCTGTAATTTCTGGCCCATCATTGTATTCACTCGCTGGTATGGGAGGTAATTCCGGTCGATAATCGCTCGTTGAATATTTGTGCCCATAACCGATATAAATATTTTCCCAGATGGTTCCACGAGCAAACGCATATGCACCTGGCCAGAGATTTGATCGAACAAACGCACAGGCATACTGTGGAATGAGATTTGACGAGATTTTCGCTGTCCAAGCTTTCGTATGATGGATTTCAGCATCGGCACCGATGGGTGTGAGGAGTGGTGGGCCTTGTTCGGGTTGAATTCGATCTTCGGCTTTACCATCTTCCTCTTCGTTCTCTTCTTCTTGCTCCTCTTCTTCAGCATCTTCTTTTGGATTCCACCATTTTGTTCGGCCTTGAGGAAGAATGTGTAAAACATGATGAACCTAAATAAAAAATTCGATGTTAAATTGGACAAGAGACGAATATGTGAATTATCTCATACCCATCCGTTTAGTTCCTCATCGATCAATTCTGATAATGGCGCACCTGTAAAGTCTTCGTTATCTTCATAGTTTTGTCGACCACCTTCCTCCTCCTCTTCCTCTTCCTAAATGAAATCAAACAGCTGAAAACCAAATTCGTCAGTGCTTGCTTTTCATTACTTCGGAGAATTTAAATCGCCCATTGGGTGATACCTGTGTTGTTGCACTGATTCGGGCAATTTGTGCGCGTAAATAATGCTTTTCTGTTCCTGGATAGACAGGAAACGACTTGATTTCTCGAGTCAAATCTCCAGTGAAGAAAACTTTGATCTGTCGAGCTAAAGAAATTTGTGCTGGTGTCACAGTCGGTAATCGAACCCATGGTGCTCCAGCTAAACAATACAAAATCGAAACTCCTACGCCTGAACTCTTCTTTTCTATAATACGTACGACGATTGCAGACATAATAGGTGTACTTGTTCACGCCTGTTCCACGTTCTTCTTTTGGTACAGTTGGTGGTGATTTGTAAGCAGATTTTGGCAAAGGATCTTCTTCTCCTTCACCTTCTTCATCTTCATCCGCATCTTTTTCATCATTTTCATTGTTCTCTTCGTTTTCTTCCTCTTCTTCGACCTCTTCGTCAGCATTCTGTTCAACTTCAGCGACATAATAATTCTTCTCTGTTCCCAATATTTTACCCCAAAAACGAAGTTTTTCAAATTGACTTTTATCTACTAATTGTTTCAATGCCAGCCATATTCTAAAAAGAAACATCAGTTGTAGATTGAAGCTCACTGATATCGTCGATTATTTCCTTACTGATAAGTTTCATCACGACCAAGACCAATACCAGCTTGTTCAAAATAATACGCTTGTTCGAGAATATGTGGCAATGGCGATTGTAAAGCATCTTCATCAAGATCATCAGTATTTTCGCCTTTCTACACATTTTCATTGATCATAACATATTATT